TTTTTTTTTTTTTTTTTTTTTTTTTTTTTTTTTTTTTTTTTTTTTGTTGGTTGGATTTTTTTTCTCATCTCCACCTCAATTCTGTGTCTAACTAGAATGCTTTTGCCTTGCTTCATCTCATTAAATGTAACCAGTGGAGCACTACCTTAGCTCCCTTTTGTTCCTACTGTCATAGCTAGTCAACTTGTTTGGTTTGGAATATATGGAAAAAAAACCTTACATGTGTTCAAGTACAATGAGTGAATTAATGGACACTTGTTAAGTATTTTTTGGATGCATCACATAACATGCTTTTTAGATAAATATACCCAGTGTATGTCCTGTGTTTCTTGCTAAAAGTTGAATGCTTTGCATAAGCGAGGAGAAATCTCCTCTCAAAGCAGGAAATTGTGCAATATTTTTCATGTCTTAAGGTGTATGGTTTACAGACTGTACTTTTGAAAACATAGTAGTATTTTCCTGTCTGCTTTAGTATAAATACTCGAGAGATATATTTAGTATAGCAGAAAATAAACTGAGGGCATTTTAAATAATAATTAATGAAATTATAAATATATTCTATGAGGTATTTCTCTGTAGTTTATTACAGCTTTTTAGTCATATTTTAGAAATTGAAAGAAAACTAAATGAAACCAATTAAAGATTAAGAACTTATTACATATATTTTCAAGCAAAAGCATTTTTAGAGATGCATCTCTATGTTTGTTTTTGTTTCATTTCTCAAACCTTTAAGGTAAGTTTCATAGGTTTATGTATCTGAGCATACTATTCAAATGTAAATAAAGTAAAACTGATACAGGAAATCACTGACATTTGACGATAATTGCCAAGGCTGTCTGTATGACTCACTAAATTCTGCAGGCAAAAAAAGAAAAACAGCATTCATTGATGGCATGAATAGTAAGTTTGAAGTCCCTTAATCTCTCCGAATCTGGCTGAAGCAGCACAAACATGAATGAATGCTCTCAAAAATCTGCAATAAATGTAGACATTTAATTTAGCCAGTGGTTTGCACAAACAGTGATCAGGCCGTGAACAAAGTGATCTAACTTCAGTTAGCCCTGCTTTGAGCAGGAGCTTGGTATAGATGACTTTCAGAAGTCCCAACCTAAATTAATCTTTGATTGCATAACTCTTCCATCTGAAGGGTTATCAGCCCAGCTAATTTGCTGACTGTTTGAAGCATTTGCAAACCCACTGGAAGAAGGATTTTAACTTTTTTGAACTGTAGTCCAGTATTCTGCTGGACTGCTTTTAAAAGCCTGATGTGACATAACATCAGAGAAATATCAGCTACTTAAACCTATGAGATGACATGCTGAGACTTTCAGAAGGCATTCACAAAGCTCAAAAGGTAATTGAGACCTTCTTTTCAGTTTAACAGTGCAATCACAGCTGTTAGTGGATGACGAAACAGCCCCTTATCTACAGCATTCCGTTGCGATTTTTACTGCTGCAGCGTATCAGCCTGATCAGACCACAGCCTACACATAAATAGGACTCTAGCCTTTAGTTTTCACCTTTTTTTGTTGTTTTTTTTTTTTTTGTTGTTGTTTCTTTTTTTTAAGGTAAGACTAATAGCTTTTTGGCCTATATAAAGAGTGTAATTTTTTTAAACAGTAAATCTAACCTAGGGATACAATGTAAAACACTTCTCCATGCTGTCATTTTTTTAAGAATATCACTCTGCACTTTTGTACAAAAAAAAAATAAGTCTAAGAAGTAAAGAATGTACTTCAGTTTGCACTTGTGCAGTATGAAGACTGTGCTGTAAATACAGGATTGTTTCTGTGATTGGATTCTGTTGCATGAATGCTGCATGTGAAAGTAACTAGATTCAGCATTTCATTTTCTGTTCTTTTTATGAAGTATTTTTCATTGATGCTGATGGTAGGTTTTCATGTTTCCAGTGTTGAAATGAGCTTTGTTTGGTAAATGCAGGTGTTGTGCAGGTGTTGTGCAGGGAATGAAGAGCTTGTAACACCCTGCGTGTTCATGTGATATTTAATTTCTTCCTTTCTGGAAGTTCAGGGAGTCTGTAAGTTGGTAATTGGTTCACTTTGGCCTTTCTTGACATATGGGAGATGGGAGAGACTGTAAAATGTATTGGTTTGGTAGCTATTGATTGGTATATGTAGCTAATGAATGAAACCAAAAGAATTAAGAATGCTGTTTGTTGTACAGTATGAAGCTGCTGCGTTTCACTTCTCTTTTTATGTTCTTCAGACAAGTTGCAGAACTTTAAAAGCTCCTTATGCAAACTGGTCCTGTTTTATCTGCAACACTTTGAGCACTGTCATAATGGTTATAAATTGGTACCCAGCTGTTTAAGTGTATTCCAGCTGTTGCTTTGGGTTCTCTTTCCCATTATGTCATTTTGAAAAAAAAATATAGCTTTTGTAGTGGGTCACTTTAAGGTAAATTAAATCTGTGGTAATTTCAAAAGGTAGAAATAGCCTGTTATCCAAAATCAGAGTAGGGCTAATTTGTCTGTTGTTCCAATGGTCATATATTCTGTACTGTATGTAATGAACCAGTTTCAATAAATGTAAGAACACACTGTGCAATCTATATTTAAGCAATAAAATAAACCAAAATTTCAAATTAATCTATTCTAAGGTGTGTGAGTTTATTTTTACTGCTCACAGTTAACATGTAAATGGCATGATTTTTTTAGCATTTAAAATAGAGCTCATTTTACACACCATTTTACTTGGTTTTGCAAATGTTACAGCACTGCAGCATTATTAAAATATTGTATTTATTTACTGTTAAACCATCGCTGTTTCTAAGACCACCAACATTTGAGACTGCAACGATTTAAAAATCATTTCCTAGTAGCAAATAAGCTTCAAGAAGATAAATAGACTGTGCTTTTCAGGCCTGCCTCGCTGAAAAACCTGTTGGGTTTTTAATATCAATTCTAGTTACTTGATACAATTGTGTGAGTTTTCTGCCCCTTGTTTTGGGGGTACAGTCATAAAATAAATCAGGCTGGAAGGAACCCAGAGTGATGGATGACTCAGAGCTTACCTGCTGCTGTTCCTGCTTCTCCTTGAGCCTTGTCCCTACACAGAGTCTGGGAGACCTTGCTGATGGGAAGGCACAGCAAAGGTTGTTCAGTCTCTGTGCTGGGGGGTTTTCAGAACCCAACTGGATGCAGCCCAGAGGTACCAGGTGTGGCCTCTTAACTGACCCTGTTTTGAGCAGAAGCTTTGTCACCTCGGAGGTCCCTCTGAGTGCCTCAGCTGTGTTTGATCTCCTAAACCACCCACCTCCTTCAGCAGGTGTCCCACATTTTGGAATGGGCTGTCCAGGGAAGTGGTGGAGTCACCACCCCTGGAGGTGTCCATGGAACGACTGGACGTGGCATTCAGTGCTCTGGTCTGGTTGACAAGGTGTTGGTTGGCCACAGGTTGGACTCGATGATCTTGGAGGTCTTTTCCAGCCTAAATGATTCTGTGAATTGAGCAACAGACCTTCCCTACCTGGACTTGTGCAAAGCCTTTAACACTGTCCCACGACACCCTTGTCTCTAAACTGCAGAGACATGGATTTGACTGATGGCCCACTTTATTGGATAAGGAATTGCCTGGATGGCTGCATTCACAACTAAATGTCCAGGTGGAGACCAGTGACGAGTGGCATCCTCGGGTGTTGGTATTGGGACTGACACTTCTTAACCTCTTTGTCAGTGACATGGACTGAGAGATTTGAGTGCACTCTCAACTAGGTTTCAGCCTAAAATCTGTGAAAAATATGATGCAAAGTGACTGTGAGAATGA